GATCAGACGTCATGTGCTAATAGCTTCAAGTTAAGAAGACGTGAAGTTAAAAAAACAAAAACAATAAATTCTCTATTGTAAACAGTCCCCCCTAGTGGAGATCAAGATGAATTACAACTTTATGCAACAGGCAATGAGGAAACCAGTTTTAAAAAGATGTTACATCATATTATTTCTGGTCTATGCTAATTCACTAATGCTGCAGCAGAAAATCCTAATATAGTTTTTATTTATGTATTTAATTATATTTTAATTCATTTTTACATTGAAAAATCAATCACATAAATCACGTCATTCTTTCTTTATTTAAAGGATTATGACGATAATGCAAATGTGCTGCATGGCCCAATATATTGGGGTGTGTGTGTGTGTGTAGTGGACTATTTTCACTCATGTGATTAAAAAGTTTTTGGACGTATTTGGACAAAGACACATTTCTCTGTATTTTTGCCTCTGTGCACAAATCAAACAATCAAGATGTGTGATTGAAGTACAAACCCTTTAATTGTAGGGCTGCTTCTTATTTTGAAATGGTCAAAAGTAATCGGACAGTTTGCTGACGAGCCGTTTCATAGCCAGCTTTCATAGAGAGCTTGTTCCTCCATTGTCCATGGTGTACTATTCGATAGCTATCAACTAATATATAGGCTATTAATTTAAATACTGTTAAATTGCATTTGGTAGCTACTCACATAATCAAAATCTAAGTAAACCTCTCAGACAGAGCCAAAATATTAGAATGATCAAATCAAATCAGCAATCATGTGCATTCTTAAATAGAAACAATGCAACGGCCAGCGACACTGAAAGTCCTGCAACCATAAAAGACATCTAAAGTGGATGATTTCGGAATTAAAGGTTAGTCAAGGTTAAAGTAGTTTTTGAACGCCCAAAATGTGGGACTGTGTATAAAAAATGGCTTAATACTTAAACAGTTAATGCAATATTTTGGTAAAAATCACAATATTAAAGCTTAAAGTCTAATTGGTTCAATCATTTTCAATTTTATTTATATAGCGCCAAATCACAGCACCTGTCGCATCGAGGCGCTTTATATTGTGATGTAAAGACAGAAACAAAACAAACACAGAGAAAAAGCAAAAAACCAACAACTACAAGCTAGCTCTTGGTGACAGTGGGAAGGAAATACTCCCTTTTAACAAGAAGAAACCTCTGGCAGAAGCAGACTCGGGGAGAGGCAGCCATCTGCTGCGAGACGGTGGGAGGGAGGCGGGA